TTGTATGTGAGGTAGTATATATATATATATATATATATATACATATTATATATATTAAGATATCTTAATATACATGGATGCATCTCACGGACTACTGTTCGATGAAATAACGAGAATCGAGTTCGTAATATTAGATTCAAATACGATCGTGTTGGTAATTTAACCGATATTTTGAATCAGTAATAACGATATTGAAAAGCCATGATCAAATTTCAATTATAAAATGAATTAATTTTAAATGATTAAATTTCGTATTAAAATTAACCTATAAAATTTGTTTAATTTATTGAAACAATTTGAATTGATTGAATCTAATATTTATTTTAAAAATATTTTAGTAACTTTAAAATGTAACCTCTTTTTTCAAAAATCTTCGATGGAAAAACCAATTTTTTTGTAAAAGGAAAAAATATTTAAAAAATACCAAAAACATCGATCACTCTTCTTTCCCTCGAATCGAAAAATCTCTTCAAAAAATATTTTCCAAACACTCGCAAAGGAAACCACAAAAAGACTCTTCGAATCGAAACAGGAGAAAATATTCTAAAACGACACTTGTCTCTTCCATTCGGACGCGATTTTAAAGCGGATCTTCGTGAATTGGCAGGACAACCTGTTGAACCTTAATCCTTGACTCTAACAACACCACGAATCCTACCGTTACTTCTACCTTTACATAACCTTTATCCAAAATTGTTCGTTTCAAAAGTTAAAAACGTGCACTCACTTTTTTCCAGCATCTGTTCGAAATCTGTACACGCACACGAGAGATGGATCACTAACGAAGCTCGAGAGATGGATTACAAACGAAGCTCGAATGATGACCGAGGACTGAGAGGCGTCGCGACGCCCGATACCCACCACGACGCCATCGAAACGATTTCTACGCGTCGTTCAACTACGCAGAAGCCGCCGATTCAGAATAGTCGCGTGACGCGTCTTCTCCGGTTCGTGGTTCGTACCGAACTGATCGAAATGTAAACGTTTCGAAAGGGGCGTGTAATGTTTCGATCGTTTTAAGAACGTCGCTCGATGGGAAATGTTTACAAACGGCGACATGCGAATTTGAATTTCGTAAGATGGTTTCGATTAGGTTATGGTGCGTGTTATATATTTTTATATTTTCGATCGTTTTAAAAACCGATCGATTTAAACAACGATGTAATTTATTTTAAATAATTTTTATTAGATTATTGGGAAGTGATTAGTGAAATATATATATATATATAGATATATATATATATATATATTGTGTTTTATACGTGTTCACATATGTGTATGTTTCACGTATAGGATATTGATATATCATCTTATTTGCAATATTAATAAAGGAACTTTTATGCTTAAATAAATCCTTTAAATGTGTTTCACAAATATATTAACATTCACTATCTTATTCTTCGATTCTTTTTAATAATAATAATAATAATAATAATTTAAAGACAATTCTTAAACGATTAAACGAACTTTTTAAATTTTATGTATTTATTTGATAATTAGATCTTTATGTAAAAATTATGTAAGTATAATTATGTTTATGTAAAAATAAAATTAAAAAAAAAAAAAAAAAAAAGTCCAATTTCTAATAAGGGAGCTCTGCTCTTCCTACTTCCACTATTTCTAATTAATGTAAATTTGCATTACGTCAGGAGTAATAAAGCCTCATGAATAACAAGTGAGCGAGGAGCAAAGTATCTCGGTGTTGATAAAAATTTTTTGTTTTAACGCTAAAAATAGACCTTACTTGTAATATTGAATTTAGTTAAAAAAAAAAAAAAAGAAAAAAAAGAAAAAAAAAAATTAGAAGTTGCGACTTCCTTTCTATTAAAATTCGATATTCATTGCCGTTTTTAATTTTAAAAAATTATCGAATTAAAAAGAGAAAAAAAAAGAGAAAAAATTTTTTCTACGAAAGATCAAGCTTCTTTCACCTGAAATGTATAATCAAGCGCCAAAATAATTAAATTGTACACGCAATATGAAATAACAAGCTACTCAACCTAATTAACCAACTAATTGAAAACGCGAGAAAGAAAACCTTCTTTTTTTTTTTCTTTTAAATTTATAATTTTTTTAATAAAAATTATTTTCGCGTCTAAAATATCGAGAACTAAATTATATCAAATTTAATTGATACCATGCTTGCAATTATTTCCAGCTCGTTCAATATTTCCATAAATTATCCATCGATTTATAAGTAAAATGCATGCTGGGATTAACTAAAGCAAAGTAATGAAACGCACCTTTACCAAACAGAAATCCTTTGCCGAATTTCAAAGCACTGTCAATCTCGTGCAGAAGACCGTACTCATTGTCAGTTTCCTTTGTCGCAAAATTATAACCGCATCCTTTAAAAAAAGCAAACCGAAGCAGGCCCAAAAAAAAAAAAAGAAAATTAAACAAAATAAAATAAATAAAAGATATATTTTATTATTTATTACTTTAAAATTGGCAGATTTGGTGAAATAAAAAAGCGTTATTACATCGCTCGTGGAATATTTGTAATTTTATAAATATAAATATAACAATAGTTCTTTATTTTTAAAAATAAAAAATTAATTGAGGATTAAATTGTTTAAATTTACAATCTTCCATTTATACAATATAAATTATGTATTCATTTTTGTAACGCTTCTTCTTTGAATATTGTTGTTATAATTAAAAAAATTTATTACAAATACTCCACGATATTCTAAAATATATCCTATATTATTAAGTCACTAGTAGAGCCAAGTGCGTTAGATAGACATTATAAAGCGAGATGCACAGACAGACAATGAGCTCAAACAATGATTAAAAATAAAATAAATAAATGTATTAATGAATGGAAGATGAAAAATGGATTTTCCGCTTTTCTTCCGCTGGAAAAGCTCTTTTTAAATTTTATTTAAAAAGATAAAAGTTTACCCTCAATTTTCAACTAAATATTATTACATTAAAAATACAATTTAAAAATTCCGTTTCAATTCGTTGTTCGAAATAAAATTCTTTTTGTCCAAATCCATAATAAATTGAATTTATCAACTAAAATACATCACGAAGAGAATGCACGAAGAAATTCTACAAACCAGTGAAATAATATTGACACCGATTCTAGCCAAAACAAATTTGGAGCCAGGCTACAAAATATCAGTGACGTTAACTGGGTCACCCGCTCAGAAACTACTACTATACTGTATCTATATTGTACCCTCTATCCGCGAAACAAATCCAAATTATCGTGCGTTAATCTCAAAATAATTTCTCCTTTGAAAATCAAATTTTTCGACTCGAAAATAATTATGTTAAATCCCCCAAATTATATTCGAAACGGAAATTATATAAAATTAAACAAATATTACATTATTACATACCACAGGATGACGAATGAAACACACGTGTTTTTATATACAATCATATCTGACATATTCTGAGATATTCCATGTACGCGACCGGTTAATAAATATCGAATCAAGTTAACCATCACTTCCCACGCCACTTCACCGCGTTAATAAGAAATATTTACTTTTACGAACGTCCATTTCGATTCCTCCCCCTCCCCCCTCTAGCTCTGGTGGGGGATCGAAAAGGGTGAAGGTCTCGAGGGGGGAGGGGAGGGATTGGTACGCGCGTGTCGCAATTGGTCGGAAATAGCCAAAATCGAGGGAGGACCGTTGTTGGTCCTCAGCCTCAGAAGCTGGACGTTCTCTACGAGTGAAGCTGTGCCCTATTTTCACGAGGCCTATATTTAGATTCTCATTCTCGAATGAATCATAATCGCGTTGCAACCGACCAGGCTCGGACATCGAGGAGAAATAAATCGTGGGTTTTTGGACGTAGATTGGATCCTTTGGGGGAGGGAGGGGAGTTGTTGGTAGAGCACTAGTTTAGTCTTTTTTAGTCCCTGATAAAGCTCTGTTATACAGTTTACAGTCGTTAATTGTAATCGTAAGTAATTGTTATTATTATTATTATTATTATTATTGGTTAATTATTGCTAGTATACATTTTTTTTTTAAACCATAATTTTGTAATTTTTCTATAAAAAGTGTTCTTTTTATTATCGTTGTTACAGTCAACGTTAGTCAATGTTTTGACTCGTATTTTATTTTATCGTTTGCATATACTTTATATTTACTCCCAATGTTATCTTCTTTTTTTTTTTTTTTTTTAATCTTAATTTTTAAACGAATAATTATCGCTAGTTGCACGAGTCTAGTGTCTTTTTTTAGATCTCGAATAATTATCACGAATGCACAAATGAATAAATGTCTTCGATATTTGATAAAAGAATTTTATTATATGATTGAAAACCGTTGCGATATATATTTCGAACGCACAAATTTTCTTACCACTCGAAATTTCCTGTATTATTCCTCCCAACCGTGTCCCAGGTATTTCTCTAACTCGTTGTGTGTCACGAGTTACAAAAATAGTACGTGAAATTTCACGATTTATATAAAACGAGAAACGAACGGCGGAAATTCTTATAGAGATATGTTTGGTCTCGTCGTTCTCTTGGTCAGCCGTAACGATAACCTACGCGACCCACGCGAAAGCTAACAAACTTATCTCTCGGCATTTCCCACTTTATTAACGGGAAGGAAAGTGATCTTCTCGTATAATCGATTCATCGTATAATCCTTCCGCCATCCTATTTCACGTTTCATCGTGACGAGTAGTAGTAAGGA